CCCACAGGGTTTCCTAGGCTGTCATCTATTGTGTCACTATATACTCATATATACTCTTATAGATCATCCACTCACAACGCCCCCTGGTGTAACAGAGGAGAACTGCCCCACAGGGTTTCCTAGGCTGTCATCTATTGTGTCACTGTATACTCATATATACTCTTATACATCATCCACTCACAGTGCTCCCTTGTGTGAAAATTTACAGTCTGTTATGGATTGAATTATATCTTCCAAAAATATGTGTTGTAAATCCTAATCTCTGTGCTTGTGTGTGGCGCTGTGAATTAATGTGCTGAACTGCAAGGTCGGTGGTTCAAGCTTACCAGCTGCTCCTCAAAACCCTATACAGGGTCACTATGCATTGGATCCAACTCAGCAGCACTTAACAACAACAAAACAACCATAGCTGTGGTTATAATTCCTTTGGAAATGGGCTTTTTTGTTTTTTGATGTCATCCCACATTTTTTCTGGTTCAGGTATTGTGTCCAGTTTGTTCTTGAGGTGGGTGGTCTCTAAATCAGGGTGGAGATGTTCAAGTTCATATTTTGGCTCTCGTAGACATCTTTTCATTTTCTTCAGCTTCGGCCTGAATTTGCATTTGAGAAATTGATGGTCTGTTCCACAGTCTGCCCCTGGCCTTTTTTTGGCTGATGATATGGAGCTTTTCCGCTATCTCATCCCTCAGATGTAGTCAACTTGACTTCTGTGTATTCTATCTGGTGAGGTCCATGTGTGTAGTTGTCTTTTATGTTGTTGAAAACAGGTATTTGCAATGAAGAAGTCATTGGTCTTGCAAAATTCTGTCATGTGATCTTCAGCATCGTTTCTGTCGTCAAGGCCATATTTTCTCACCATGGATCCTGCCTCTGTTTCTAACATTTGCATTCCATTGACCAGTAATCATCAGTACATCTGATTGCATGTTAAGTTGGTAGAATTCTTTAATAGTGGTATTAATTGGTGTTCTGTGTAGATGTATGGGTGTTATACTATCACAGACAGCATTGTATTCAAGATAGGTCTTGAGATGTTCTTTTTGATGATGAATGCCATGCCATTCCTCTTCAACTTGTCACTCCAGCATAGTAGACCATGAGGTTGTCAGATTCAGAAACGTCAGCACCAGTCCATTTCAGGTCACTAATGCCCAGGATATCCATGCATGTATTTCATTGTTGACAACTTCTTTTGTCCTTAATTCATGCTCCATACATTTCATGTTAGGAGTCCTGGTGTGGCGCTGTGGGCTAATGCGCCAGACTGCAAACTTGTTTGATCTGCAAGGTTGGTGGTTCAAGCTCACCAGCTGCTCCTTGGAAACCCTACAGGGTTGCTATGGGTCGCAATTGACTTGACGGCACTTAACAACAACAACAAACATTTCATAGATTTCATGTTAGGAGCCTGGTTCTGACTATTAGTGGATGTTTGCAGCTGTCTCTCCTCATTTAGAATTATTTCCCACCAGCAAATGAAGGTCCTGAAAGTTTTCATCAAATCACTTCAGCACAGTCTAGTCTGCTTTGACGAGTCAGCTCTTCCTCAGACATATTTTGAGGGCCTTCCAGCCTGAGGGCTTCATCTCCAGGCACCATATCTGAAACTTGGCTGTTATTTCTTTTCCAGGACTATGTCTGTCAGGGTCCTGCTTCTAGTTTATAAGGTTTTCAGTGGCTAAGCATTCAGCAGTGATCTGCCTCCCCTTTTTCCTCGTCTGTCTTCGTCTGGAAGCTCCGCTGACACCTGTCCACCGTTGGTGACCCTGCTGGTACTTGGGACACCGGTGGCCTAGCTTCCAGCCTCCCAGCAACACACAAACCCCCACAGTAGGACAGACAGACAGATGAGTGTTGGAGCAATAAACTGCTTTTCCCTAACTCACTGTCTGGCAGGCTAACCAGTGCAGCCAACGAACCCTGGTGGTATGGTGGTCAAGTGCTCAGCTCCTCAAGGAAAGGTCGGCTGTTCTGATCCACCAGCCTCCCTGAGGGAGAAAAGTGAAGACACTAGCATGTGGTGGGACAGTGGACTCATGCACACGGCAGCTGGGAGGGGACACAGGACGGTCTTCGCTTCATTCTGTCGCTCTTGGGGTCACCATGAGTCAGAGCCAATCAGTGGCAGCTCACAACAACGACAACACAGATGAAGGACCACCCTTTTAGTCTTGGTGGCACCTTACTCTCGCTTTCCTTTCAACCGGACGTAGAATGGGTCCAAACCCAGCCAGCTCACTGCCACAGCACCGTGTTGGATAGGTGGAACTGCTCCGTAGGATCTCTGAGATGGTCGATCTTTATGGGAGCAGAGAGCCTCATGGTTCTCCCTGTGAGCGGCTGGTGGGCTCGAACCGCTGACTTTGTGGTTAGCAGCCCAGTGCTTCACCACTGTCCAGGAGTCCTAGAGTGGATCCAGAGGAGACTAACACTAACACGTACAAACGTATCTATTTTGACCTATTTTAATGTTCTCCTTAGTCACCTGAAGCCGTGGTCATCGTGCCCATATACAGACGGTGGCGTCTGTGGCTAGGAGCACATGTTTACTCAGACGCTCAGCAGAGCCTTCACCACATGCTGCTGCCTCCGCTCCGGTCTGAGAAGGCGGCTCTGACCTCGTGGGGCATAATGTACGAAGTCATAAATGAGGCAGTTACCGGCTGCACGGGGCTTATCCTGCCTTCCTGCAGCCTTGAAATGTTACATGTTTATTACTAGTAACAGATGCTGGGTCCCCTTTTGAAATCTCTTGGAGGAGGAGGGGCTGGGGGGAGGGGGTGTGGAGTTTGCAGTTGTTACTGCAGAGCCAACCCCATGCTGAGTCTCCCACTTTTCTCTTGTAGGTGATGTGCCTTCAGGATTTTTTCGGTGACGATGACATTTTTATTGCCTGTGGACCAGAGAAGTTCCGTTATCAGGATGACTTCTTGCTAGATGAAAGTGGTAAGAAAACACACACAGAACCAAAATCCAAACCAGGCGAAATTCGAGGCCACTTTGCAAAATGAGCTGAGGAGTCGGGGGCCAGGATGATGTCAGCTCTGAAGTTGCCAAATCAGTTTCAGATCCCCAACCAACATGTCTTTTCCATATCTCGGATTTCTTTGATTTTTTTCCCCCTCATTTTATCTTAAATATAGAAAACAGCTGAAAGGGTCATTGGAAAGGTGAAACTGTTTAGAAGAGTCAGTGTAGGTACCTCTGACCTGCTGAATTCATGCGTCCTGGAAAACCCGGGTGCAGATTTCTCCATTTTCCCCTCAAAATAGACATTGAGGGGCTTTGTGGATCACACAGTGATTGAGGATGGCACTAGGGGAGCTTCCTGGTGCCCCCTTTACTTCAGAACTGTGAAGCTGACTGTGTCTGCTCAGGACTTCATTCAGGGTTTGCATGTTGCTAAGTGGCACTGTGGGTTAATGCATCAGACTGCAAAGCCGTTTGAACTGCAAGGTTGGAGGTTCAAGCTTACCAGCTGCTCCTCGGAAACCCTATACAGGGTCACTATGGGTCGGAATCGACTCGACGGTACTTAACAACAACAACAGCAAGAAGCATCAGGCAGGCTTCAGAAAGGAGGAGGGCAGTGAACCGAACACACTGCTCTGTCTTTGGTCTGGAGGCAGGAAGTATCTTAGCTAAAGAGTTTGGAAGCTTGCGTCTTGTCTTGGAGAATCAAGTTTGTGGTATTGCAAATGAGTTCAGTCTTGTCTTTTATTTATGAGGGTCTTCAACACATAAGTGGAAAATTCCGCCATCTTTTACTTCCATTTCTCACTAACTGTTTGCAGCCGCTTGGTTTCTGTTGTGTGTTGAGAACACACAAAACGCGCTCTTTCTCCGTGCGTCCTTCAGTGACACTGATGATGTCCTTTAAGTTCGGCAGTCCTACTCAGCCGACTTATCCGACTTGTTCCGCCCCCATGAGTGTAAATCTCCTGCCCCCTGAGCTTCCTCTCGGAGCTTTTGAGTGATGTCCTCAATTCAACCCCACCCGGAGAGTTATTCCAAGACTATAATGCTCAAGGCAAATCAGTTTCCCTGTTTAGTGTCGCTAACCGTGGTTTGGTTTTAAGCTGACTTTGGGGAAATTGTTGATGTATGGTTTAAAGATGAACTCGGGGCAAAGTCTCAGAGTTCATTCAACCTCCACGGCTCCAGGAAGTCTGGAGTCCGTGAGAACCGGGAGTTCTGTCACACATTTCCCCCCTTTCAATCAGGATTTTGTTTTCTAGGATCTTTGATCAAAGTGTTCAGTAATGGTATCTGGGCAGCACCAGCTCTGTGACCCTGACAGAGGAAGCAGTTCTTCATAGAGGCCTTATCTCAGAGTCCCCAGGGTGTCACAGGAAAGATCCCTGCACAGTGCTACTTCGTCTTTACACAGGCAAATGGCACCAACCTTTCAGTGAGTGGGCCAGCACTTAACCACCGCATCACCTGGGCTTCTGTCCATGCGCATACATCCCACTGCCGGTGAGTGGATTCTGACTCTTAGTGACCGTGCAGGACTGAGGAGAACTGCCCCAAGCCCGCGGCTGTCCACTGCTTGTCCTACAGCACCACTAGGCTCCTGTGTACCTGTGAACATGGTGATCATTGTTGTTGGCTTTGTCGATGTGCATGTGGTGTGGCGCTGAGGGATAATGTGCCGCATTGCAGGGTCGATGTGCACTGCAGGTCGGCAGTTTAGGCTCACAGATCACTCCTCGGAAGCCCTACACAGGATTGCTATGGGTCGGAACCGACTTGAGGGCATTTAACAATAAACAACAGTTATCATTTAAAAGAGACTTGGTGGGAATAGTGAGAGAGACAAGAACATTCTGGTATCTGGTCCAAGTTTGTGTAGCTGAGGGGGGTTGAGGACTCAGACTGACGCTTTCTAGCTGGAGCTGGCTAAGCGGAGGAGTGTTCTCCGTGCCTTGCTCTCGGAGCTGTCCATCTTTATCTCCAGTACAAGCGGCCCTTCAGGGCAGAGGTTCATGTAAACATATCAAACTATCTCAGCCCTCCGAAGAGTAGGACAGCTCGGCCATCGTGTAGAACCAGCGGACGTTATAAGTTCAGACAGAAGAGCTGACCGCACAGTTCTGAGAAAAATAAACTGTCTAGACTTTCAATTTCAAGAAAAGAGATGCGTGTGATGTGCTGGCCACGGGGACCAGACGTCTTCTGAAATGAAAGTTACATTTGTTGCTTTGATACCGGGCATGGTCTGTCAACCCCAGACAGGCACACAGCTCAGTTTCAAAGCAACACCGAGGTGGCTGTGGATTCCCAAACCCTCCAGGGTCTGTTCCGAGTCCAGGTGGCTTGCTGTACACTTTTTCCACTGTACGCGCCCACTGGGCCCACGCAGCTGGCCACTTCCGTGTCCACCAGTCTCCCCTCTCAGCCTAGGGTGCTGCAGCGAATCCGTGTTTACTTGAGACAGGTGAGCAGATAGAGTTTCTGAGAAACACAACTAAAATGTACCAGAAAATACGTTGTGATTTCCTCTTGGAATTTTTTCCTGCCCCAAAGAGGGCACATGCGCTAGAAAAACCACCACCTGAGGTCAGAGGGCATCATTACACAAGGACCGCATTCAAAAGGTCCGGAAAGGCAGTGGAAAGGAAACAGGAAACACTGGAGGAAGTGGGATGAGCTATGTTCCCTCAAGAGGACGCAGTCACTGCGATGAAAGAACATGTGTGTGGATTGTTGAATGGAAAACTCATGGTCCGCTCTGTAGGCCGTCACCCAATTCACAATAAAATGCTAAAAAACAAAAAGAAAGTCTGAAGACATGTGCACACATGTGCACTTGGGCATGCACTGCTTAGACCCCTGTTGGTAGGAACCTTATGTCCTTTGTCCTCTCCGTAATGAAGATGCCCTAACCATTACTGTCATCCCTTTTCATTTAAATATAGTGTGTTTTTGGTAAATGTAGACATAGCGAAACAGATTTCGGCGTGACAGTTTCTGCTTATAATGCTGAGTGACAACATTCCTGTTGGACTTGTTCCACCCCCAGTTCACCAGACCACCGCAATGAAGCACACGCCATGATAAAGCCAATCACATGGATCCTTGGGGCTTCCAATGCGTAGAAAGTTATGTTTACACTAGAGAGCCAGCCATTGAAGGAGGCCTGGTGGCGCAGTGGGTTAAATTATGTTTACACCAGACAGCAGCCATTGAAGGAGGCCTGGTAGCGCAGTGGGTTAAACTTTGGGCAAATAACCGGAAGGTTGCCAGCCACAATGCAGGAGAAAGATAAGGCTGTATGCTCCTGTAAAGACCGATAGTGTCAAAAGCTCTATGGAAAAGTAATCCTCTGACCCAGAGGGCCTCAGGACTCCTGATACAAGATCAGTGATTCAAACCCAGCAACTGCTCCTCGGAAACCCTGCACAGGCTTGTTAGGAGTTGGAACCAACTCTATGGTGGTGGGTTTGGTTTGGTTTGGGGTCGTCTGTGAAGAGTGTCGTGGAATGAAGAACCAGTTGAAAATATAGTGAGAGTGGGCAGTATAGGACAGAGACAAGACGTGAACACACGCTGCTGGAAAACTATTGTCACAGACTTGCTTGACGCCGGCTGACCACCCACCGGCGTTTTGTAAGAGAGCACACAGTGTCTGTGAGGTGTGTCTGTCATGTAGCCTCTCCGACCTGTCTGTCCAACTTCTCAGCCACACCTGATAACTGCTGACCATTTGGTCTCATGCGGATAGCTCTGAAGAGCCCGGTTCTCTAGGGTGCCCGTCTTTACTTGTTGAGCAGACACCCTAATCATTTCTTGGTGTGACATGCATTCCTTAGTAACAACCACCCCCCCGCATCCTAACAGACAAGGTATAGCTCGGAAGGCCGGGGAGGAGGGGGTTAGGAAAGGAGTCAAAATTGAGATCTCATGCCCTTGAATTGACCTGAAGACAAAGTTCACGCGTTGACAACTGCAATTTTCTGGTTTCTTGTACAGCGTGTTCTAAGTGCTAATGCATTAAGATCAGAATCTTTAAAAAAACGTTGTGAGCATGATTTAGCCTGCTTTGTCTGTACTTGGGGGAGAACACTGGAAGTACCATGGCCTGCCAGACAAACAGACATATCTGTGCTGGAAGAAGTACAACCAGAATGCCCCTAAAAGCCATGATGGCCAGACTTTATCTCACACTTTGGACAGTACCCGGAGAATGACGTCGTGCTTGGTAAAATGGAGGGTCACCGACACAGAGGAAGACCCCCAACGAGATGGAGTGACCCAGTGGCAGCAGCAGTGGGCTCAAACCTGACAACAGTTGTGAGGCTGGCTCAGGATTGGGCAGGGTTTCATTCTGTTGTGCAGATACGATCACTGAGTCGGAACTGACTTGAGGGCCCTTAACAACCCCACCAACGTCTGTACTTGTTATCTGGTGTTTGCACATTGATGCTTCACTGGATTTATTCCATGTAAAAGGAGTGTGTGGAGGAGGGGGATTGCAGGGAAGGGATCCTGGTGGTGCTGTGAGTTAAGCATTGGGCTGCTAACCAAAAAGGTCGATGGTTCAAACCCACCAGCCGCTCCTTGGAAGAAAGATGAGGCTGTGAGCGCCTGTAAAGATTTTTGTTCTCAGAAGCCCCACAAACATTGCTCCAAGTTGGAATCCACTAGATGGAGGTGGGTTTGGTTTTACTTGGGGGGAGGGGTCACAGACATGTCGGAATTAACCTTTTCACCTTGTGATTTCATAGCATCAAAGGAAGAGATTTCATTTTATCTTTCAAAATTCACCCATGTCTCTGTGTTAAAGCACCCTTGTGGTACAGTGGTGAAGCGCTGAAAGGGGGTGGTTCAGACCCCTCAGATGTTCTGCAGGAGAGAGATGAGGCAGTGTACCCCTATAAAGACCTCAGCTTGGTTACCCCACGGGACCATTCTCCTGTGTCCTGTAGCGTCCCTGTGAGCTT